CAGCGCCCAGGCCCAGAGTTCAGGCCCCACGACTGACCCAAAAAAAAAAAAAAAGTTTCACAGACTTTCCCTGCCTGAGCTGGCTTTGAACCATGATCCTCAGCTCTCAGCCTCCTGAGTAGCTAGGATGACAGGCCGGAGCTACTGGCTATAGGTTGTTGTTGTTGTGTTGTAGATTTGATCTAACTGTTTTGTGCTTGTGTTTGTTGTTCTCAGAGCTACAGAAACCCTGTCCAATATGAAGAAAACCCGAGAACGATTCTGCAACAAAGAAAGGGAATTCGTGTATAAATTCAGAGTGGGACGGGAGTGTTTGGAACTGCGAGTACCTCTCACATTTCCCGTTCAGGAGAACACCAGTCACCTGCACGGACGCCTGATGCTACTGCACGCTCTTCCTTGCTTCATCGAGCGCGGTGAGGACTGCTTTGTGTTTACCGGCTCCCGGCTTTCTTGCAGTAACAGCTCCCATGTAGCCCAGCGCTCGTGGCTCACACCTGTAATCCCAGCTACCCAGGAGGCTGAGAGCTGAGGATTGACATTCAAAGCCTGCCCCAGACAGCAAAGTCCGTGAGACTCTTTTATCTTCAATTAACCGCCAAAAAGCCAGAAGCCAAAAAGCCAGAAGCCCAACTGTGGCTCAAGTGACAGCCTTGAGTGAAAAAGATAAGGAACAATACCCAGGCTTGAATTCCAGCCCCAGTTCTGGCACACACAAACAAGCTTGTATGTTAGAGTGTCACAGTGGAAACATAAAATAGGAGTTGTTTTAACTGCTACAGGAAAATCAGAGCAAACCCTCAGGTCCTTTTTGGATTGAATGATTTTCCTGTAACCCTTGTAATCATTTATAAAGTAAATAACTTTAGTATCAAAATTAGATTATATAATGAAAACTGCTTTTCAAAGATTAGGGGAAAGTGGGCGCTGGTGGCACACACCCGTAATCCTAGCTACTCAGGAGGCTGAGATCTGAGGATCACAGTTCAAAGCCAGCTTGGGTAGGAAAGTCCGGGAGACTTATCTCCCATGAACCACCAGAAAACTAGAAGTAGCGCTGTGGTTCAAAGTAGTAGAGTACTAGCCTTGAGCAAAACAGCTCAGGGATAGCACCCAGGCCCTGAGTTCAAGACCTGACAAAAACAAAAAAAAGACTAGGGGAGAGCTTTTCACCTCTGAATTGAGTTGTGTGATTTCTAAGGCTTCCTGGCTCTCGCTAATTATGGAATGGTAGAGTTCAATCACCAAGCTGCTTGTTCTTGCAATAATCTGATCCAAAGCGTGGTCACACGGAAGGACTAGTTACCTCTGAGAATCTTTGCCTGCCTAAATGAATCCCCAGTGTGATCCTTTTGTGCTCACGGCTAGCGCTCTACCACTTTGAGGCATAGCTCCACTCCTGGATTTCTGGTGCTTCATTGGAGATAAGAATCTCATAGACTTTTTCTTTGCCAGTCCTGGGGCTTGAACTCAGGGCCTGGGCACTGTCCTTGAGCTTCTTTTGCTCAAGGCAAGCTCTACCCCTGGAAACACAGAGCCACTTCCGGCTTTTTCTGTGTATGTGGTACTGAGGAATCGAACCCAGGGCTTCATGTACACTAGGCAAACACTCTACTACTGAGCCACCTTCCCAGCCCCCTCATGGGCTTTCCTTCCCAGGCTGGCTTCGAACCACGATCCTTAGCTCTCAGCCCCCTGAGTAGCTAGGATGACAAGGCATGAACTACCTTCACAGGTCTTAACATTTTAACTTTGCTCTGAGCAATAAACAGGGTCAAAGAAAAACTAATCTCTTAAGCAAAGTTCACTTTCATTGAAGATTCTGTTGAGTGTTTGCTTAAGAAAGAAAATGCCCCGTTGTGACCCTTAGCAAGTAAGCATTCTCCTGTTTGCCTGAGTTTGCTAATGGTGGCGATTGTCCCTTGCACAGATCTGGAAGCAGCTCTGAGGCAGTTCATAGAGGAAGAATCGCTCCAGGACTACGACACGGAGGCTGAAGCCTCCCTGGAGGCTGTGAAGTCAGGGGAGGTCGATCTCCACCAGCTGGCGAACACCTGGGCCAAAGCTTATGCCGAGGTAAGAAAATAGGGCAGCCAGGCGCCGGTGGCTCAGGCCTGTCATCCTAGCTACTAAGAAGGCTGAGATCTAAGGATCATGGTTCAAAACCAACCTGGACAGGAAAGTCCATGAGACTCTGATCTCCAATAAACCACCAGAAAACTGGAAGTGGCGCTATAGCTCAAGCGGTAGAGTGCTCACCTTGAGCTTGAGCTGAGGGACAGCGCCCAGGCCCAGAGTTCAAGCCCCACGACCAACAAGAAAAAAGCAAGAGAGCAAGAATAGTGCAGGCCTCCAATTCCAAGGATATCCTGCCCTTGGCGAGCACTTGTGCATTGCTATAGGAAAGCAAAAGCCTGGTACTGAAGCCTTCTGTCTCTGCATACCTGTCATGTCAGCCTGTGCTTGTGGGCTCCCGGCTGATGTAAAGACTCGCATAGAAGAAGATTCTTTTATGTAGTATGTTAGAGATCTGTGATGGAAAGGAGCTGCTTTTGTATCTGCATCCTGAACGGGCTCTCCATACTTCCTGCTTCAAAATACGGAGCACCCACTGAAGCTAGAATCTCAGATCAATGAATAATTTATGCTATAATTCTTTTTTAAAAAATTTTGTACCTGCTGGGTACCCATGGCTCACACCTGTCATCCTAGCTACTCAGAGGACTGAGATCTGAGGATCACGGTTCAAAGCCAGGCCAGGGCAGGAAAGTCTGTGAGACTCTTATATCCAATAAACCACTCAGAAAACCAGAAGTGGCACTGTGGCTCAAGTGGTGGAGCGCTAGCCTTGAGCTGAAGAGCTGAGGGACAGCATCTAGGCCCAGAGTTCAAGCCCCACCACCGACAAAAAAAAATTTTTTTTTAACCTGTCTTGGAGCTTGAACTCAGGGCCAGGGTGCTTCATTTTGTCTTATAGTCAGACCTGGGGCTTGAACTCAGGGCCTGAGCGCTGTCCCTGAGCTTTTCTGCTCCAGATTAGCGCTCTGCTACTTAGAGCCACAGCGCCACTTCCAGTTTTCTGGTGGTTCATTGGAGATCAGAGCCTCATGGGCTTTCCTGCCTGTGCATCAAACCCCGATCCTCAGCTCACAGCCTCCTAAGTAGCTAAGGTTACAGGTGTGAGCCACCAGCTCCCAACTCTGAGCTTCTTTTTGCTCAAGTCTAGCCTTCTCCCACTTGAGCCACAGCTCCACTTGTGACTTTTTTGGTTGTTTGTAACGGACATATGTCTCACAGACTTCCCTGCCCGAGCTGACTTTTATCTATGGTCCTCAGATCTCAGCCTCCTAGTAGCTGGGATTACAAGCTGGTGCTGGGCTAATTTATTAATCTAATTACATTCCACATAGGACTTAGAGAGTATTTCGTAGTGAATAGTTGTTTGTTCTTTATTTGAAATTCTAACTGACTTTTATATAACAACCTTATTCCAATAGCAATAATTACTTTTAAGCTTTGATTTTTCTTTTTGTGTGTGTGTGTTGGACCAGTATTGGGGCTCAGGGCTTTGTGTTCTTGATTGTTTGTTTTCCTGTCAAGGCTGGTGCTCTACCACTTGAGCCACAGCTCCACGTCCAGCTTTGGTTAGTTTCGGTGTCTTCATTTACGTTCCTTTTGTTACCTGGTTTTATAACCTCTTCATTTTTCATTTAAATAGTATACTCCATAAGCTGTAAGTGCTACACACATTGTAACTTCGTTTTACTGAGGAGGAATTCCACCAACTAGACTAGGACAGAATGCCAAGATACCACTGAGAATAAATGCAAAGAAAAGAAAAGACACGTTGATTTCCCTGGAGGTTATCAAGCGATCAGGTCTGCAGATTGGCAGACGTCACCTTGTTTCCATCCCTGTAAGATGTGCAGAAGTGTAGGAGGAGGAAGAGTAACTGTAATTCACTCCAGGAAACTGATTATGTAGAGGAAAAGCAGGAAGCGCTTGCTAATGGGAGCCCAGGCTCCAAGGATTGTTGTTTTGGAACGTGCGTTCTTTCATAGAAATGGGATGGTGGCATACTTAGCTTTTGGGAGACTGAGGCTTAAGCCAAGGTGTAACTATATAACCCAGGCTGGCCTCCAAATCCCATCACAGCCAACTGAGCGCTGGGATTACAACACTGCGCTACCACACACAGTTACATATTATTACTGTTATTGTTGATGATATTATTATTACTGTGGGTACTTCTTTCCCTTGGTCTCTGGTAGTGCTTTGTGCCTGCCCACAGGTAACTGACAGTGACCCCTTAGTGGATCTCTCCCCATAGTCTCTTCCTACTCAGTCAGTCCTGGCTACCATAAACACGGAGGTCCTTCTGTCCTCGTGAGACTATACAGAAGCAGCCTCACGCATGTCCTCCTAGCCCTGTCTTAAACGACAGTGGTCCGCCATGTTCACAAATGAGTGCTGTGCTCCCTCAGACCACCCTGGAACACGCCAGGCCCGAAGAGGCCAGCTGGGATGAAGACTTCGCAGATGTGTACCACGACCTCATCCACTCGCCCGCCTCGGAAACGCTCCTGAACCTGGAACACAACTACTTCGTTAGCATCTCAGAGCTGATTGGGGAACGAGACGTGGAACTGAAGAAATTACGGGAGAGGTAGTTCACCTTCCTGCGTTACCGTAGTTACACGGATGGAACATTGTCTCACCCCTTCAAATAGGAACAGAACAGCCTGATTTGGTATATTCATTAAAGGATGCTATAGAAAACTCCTTTACCTGTATATGTAAGTGTGCAGTTTTAACTGGGAGAAGTCCCTTCCAACTCTGTTCCTGAAATAGACTGCGCTTGGTAGAGTTGATTTTTGTTTTTGTTTTTTTGTTTTTTGCCAGTCCTAGGGCTTGAACCCTGAGCCTGAGCACTGTCCCTGAGCTTCTTTGGCTCAAGGCTAGTGCTCTACCAATTGAGCCACCACATCACTTCCAGCTTTTTCTGTGTATGTGGTACTGAGGAGTCGAACCCAGGGCTTCATGCATGCATGCTATGTGAGCGCTCTACCACTGAGCCTCATTCTCAGCCCTCGTTGGTTTATTTCTAACAAAGAACTAGGCGTGAGCCACCGGCACCTGGCTTAAAAACAATTTTCAGAATGAAGAGTTGTTAATGCCTGACACACTGACACAACTCATCTGAAATAGCATAAAATTTCCTTTGACCTAAACTGTACAGTCTAAAATACATGGTCTCAGATTTGGGACACATGAAATAAGTGGTAATGATAAGCTGGGCATTAGTGGCCTGTAATCCTAGCTACTCAGGGGGCTGAGATCTGAGGATCATGGTTCAAAGCCAGCCCCAGCAGGAAAGTCCATGAAACTCTTATCTCCAATGAACCATCAGAAAACCAGAAGTGGTGCTGTGGCCCAAGTGGTAGAGCGCTAGCCTTGAGCTGAAGAGCTGAGGGACAGCGCCCAGGCCCTGAGTTCAAGCTCCATGACCAACAGAAAGAAAGAGAGAAAGAAGTGGTCATGAAATTTTATTTATTGAAGTCTTTGTCTTTTTTTTTTCTTTAGAAGAAATTTGCTAGCTATTTTTTAAAAACCTTGAAAAATAGCATTTGCACTTTTGTTGGTGGTGGTGGTAGCGGTCATGGGGCTTGAACTCAGGACCTAGTCATTGTCCTTGGACTCTTTTACATAAGGCTAGCATTCCATCACTGAGCCACAGCTCCATTTCCGGTTTTCTGGCCATTCATTGGAGATCAGAGTCTCACAGACTTTCCTGCCCAGGCTGGTTTTGAACCATGATCCTCAGATCTCAGCCTTCTGAGTAGCTAGGATGGCAGGCGTGAGCCACTGGTACCCAGGGCAATGGCTTTTTTTTTTTTTTTTTTTATCCACGAGGGAGAACTCTTATAATGTAAAAGATTGATGCCACAGTTATATTTATAGGGGCCCTGCATTTCTTCCTGTTAAGTCAATTTCACTTGCAACTTTAACCTTCACCTGAGCTGGGAAACTTATAACACGTTCCTTGGCTGCTCCAGGTCATTACCACCAGCTTTTTGTAGAAATGTACATCTGGGCTGAGCAGGGCTCTGGAAAAGCCCTTAACCTGGCATTGATGTGGCCTGAGTTCAGAGGGATAGGGAAAGAAAGATGGGGTGAGGAAGGGGAGGGAAAGGGAGACCAAGAAATGTCTGTGACTAACTTGCGTAAGTGTCTTTAACTTATCACATAGGTAAGTCTAATCAGTCACGATAAAGAAATATAAGTGCACTTTTTGTTTTGCTGGTCTTGAGGCTTGAACTCAGAGCTTGGGCAATGTCCCTGAAAAGTTTTTGCTCAAGGCTAGCACTCTTACCACTTGAGCCATACCTCCACTTTTGGGTTTTTGGTGACTAATTAGAGGTGAGTGGCTCACTTCTTTGTACGGGCTGGTTTTGAACCGTGATCGTCAGACCTCAGCCTCCTGAGTAGCTAGGATGACAGGTGTGAGCCACCAGCGCCTGGCGAAATTCACTTTTCAGAGAAGTTTTACTTAAGTAGATTGCTGGTAAAACTCTCAGCTTATGTATTTGCTCTTAGTTTATACAAAATGTAATTTTTTTGGGGGGGTCCGGTCATGGGGCCTGAACTCTGGGCCTGGGCGCTGTCCCTCAGCTCTTCAGCTCAAGGCTAGCGCTCTACCACTGAGCCACCTTCCCAGCCCCCAAAATGTCTTTTTTTAGAGCACACTTCTTTTGCCTACATTTATCCTCGAAGGTAATTGAACATTTGCAATGAAGATACTTACTCAAAGGTGCATCCAGAAAAGGCAGCACACGGCGCATGCCCCACTCGCTGGGTTCCTGCTGGTAGTCACGTTCTCCTTAATCCATCACCCAGTCAGGAGCCAGTGCTTCCGGCATGGCCACGCCCCCTTCCTGCCCCTGCAGACACTGCGGGGCAGGAAGTCACCGCTGATGAGCTCTTCCTGTAGGGAAAATCCTTCCTAACCTCTGCACAGTATTTCTTTGACTAAAGAAAGAAGGCATGCCTGTCCTCCACCTTCCTCAGACTGTACTTCACATTCCCCGTTAAAGATAGTCTAGTGGCTTCACAATTTGACTCTTAGAACCGAATTGCCAGCCTCTGGGGGTAATAAACTTTCAAGGCTGGAGATCACTTCAGCTTATATTCTAATGCGTAGAAAATCTGTCTTAAGGGTAGGCCCCGGTGGCTCCCGCCTGTCATCCTAGCTACTCAGGAGGCTGAGGTCTGAGGATCGCGGTTCAAAGCCAGCCTCAGCAGGAAAGTCCTTGAGACTCTCATCTCCAGTTAACCAGTAGAAAACCGCAAGTGGCACTGTCGCTCAATGGTAGAGTGCGTGCCTTGAACTGAAGAGCTGAGGGACAGTCCCCAGGCCCAGAGTTCAAGTCCCACAATCGACCAAAAAAAAGAAGTCTGTGTAAGAACTAGAGGTGTGAATCAAGTGGTAGAGTGCCGTGCCAGCAGTAAGCAAGAAAGCCAAGTGAGAATGTATAGCCCTGAGTTCAAGTCTTGGTACCAGCGCACGAGCATACACAACACACACAAATCTATTTAAATTAGAATTGCCCAATCTTTTCTTTGAACAAATTCACGGAGGAGGGGGGTCAAGACCCTCACACATGACCATGGTAACTGAAAGGTCATTTCGATTTGGACCATTTTCATTGATGCTTAGATATCTGTTGGAATTGATAGAATAGGCCGCTAACCATCACTAGTGCACATCTCCCTTACCAAGAATTCAGAGTGACTCCCAGAAATCACAGCGCCCACTTCTGGCCAGGGCTATCTTCCCTTTGCAGACTGTCCCGTACAAGGAAGTCTGAGGCAGTCTCTGATTGGATATGATTGGCTCATCCGAGGTGGTCTCTGACTGGCCCGTCTGAGGCAGACCCTGATTGGCTCATCGGGGGCCATTTCTGATTGGTTGATTGATGTTTCAGGCAAGGTGTGGAAATGGGAAGAGTGATGCAGGAACTGGGAAAATCTCTCACAGATCAAGATGTCAACTCGCTGGCCGCTCAGCATTTCGAGTGCCAGCAGGTAAGTGACGGCAACAACCACACACGCATTTACTTTTTTTTTTTTTTTTGCTCATATCACACACATATATGTGTATAAAATTCACCGTTGGTACGTTGTCACTTTTAGGACTTAGAGAATAAGTGGTCCAATGAATTGAAACAGTCAACAGCCATCCAAAAGCAAGAGTATCAGGAGTGGGTGATAAAGCTTCACCAAGACCTGAAGAACCCCAACAACAGCTCCCTCAGGTACTGGCCCTGCCTGCCTGCCTGCCTGCCTGCCTGCCTCCCTCCCTCCCTCCCACCCTCCCTCCCTTCCTTCCTTCCTTCCTTCCTTCCTCCTTCCCGCCTGCCTTCCCTCCCCCTCTTCCTTCCTTCCTTCCTTCCTTCCTTCCTTCCTTCCTTCCTTCCTTCCTTCCTCCTTCCCTGCCTCCCTCCCTCCTTTTTTTCCTTCCTACCAATCTTTTCTCCCTCCCTCCCTTTCTTTATCCCTGCCTTTCTCCAACTCTTTCTACCCTCTCTCTGTCCCTTCCCCCCTCCTTTGCCTCGATCCTCCCTCCCTTTAATGCAGACCTATCATCCTGCTCACTGCAAAACATGCTCCCATCTTTTTTTATTTGTTTAAGTTGCCATGCAAATCCAAGCTGATTGAATGTTTCTTTTAGCGCTTCTGTGACCAGGCTGTGTGTGAACCACTTGAGGGCCAGGGAATTGGTGACGGCTTGGTTTAAAATAGAATTAGAACTTGAGCTTCAGGCCTGGGATGGTGGCTTAGTGGCAGAGCGCTTGCCTAGCATGCATGAAGCCCTGGGTTCGATTCCTCAGTACCACATATGCAGAAAAAGCTGGAAGTAGCCCTTTAGCTCAAGTGATAGAGTGCTAGCCTTGAACAAAAGAAGCTCAGAGACAGCGCCCAGGCCCTGAGTTCAAGCCAGAAATGGAACCGTGGCTCAAATATCAAGCCTGCCTTGAGCAAAAAAGGCAAGTGAGAACACATGGCCCTGAGTTCAAGTCCACTACTAGCAAAGAAAGGAAAAGGAGTGAGAGCGAGAAGAAGAAAGGAAAGAATGAATGAGGGGAAGAAGAGAAAGAAAGAAAAAAGTGAAGCTTCTAGTTTTTTCTTTGCATCATTTACCTTTTTTTGTTTGTTTGTTTACAACATAGCACTAGCAGGAAAGTACACTGTCTTTTATCAGTTGCTGCCTCTGATCTTTCTTCCTTTTTTGCTAGTCCTGGGGCTTGAACTCAGGGCCTGGGCACTGTCCCTGAGCTTCTTTTGCTCAAGGCTAGCACTCTACCACTTGAGCCACAAAGCCATTTCTGGCTTTTTCTGTGTATGTGGTGCTGAGGAATCGAACCCAGGGCTTCATGTAGGCTAGGCGAGCACTCTACCACTGAGCCACCCTCCCAGCCCCTCTGATCATTTCCTTAAGCCTCTGGATGGTGATGGATGGCTCATTGATACAGCTTACTGAGCAGACGTGGGAATAGCAGGGGCTGTGGAACCTTGTAGAAAGCGTCAGGGCTTACCACAGCCTCTTGTCACCATGCATTAAGGGAAGGCTTAGGCGTAAGTTGGAGCACAGACATTCTAGCCATTCCTTAAAGAATGATTGTGACAACTAGGCAAAGAAATCATATGGATGATGTTATTGATTTCAGCGAGGAAATTAAAGTTCAGCCAAGTCAGTTGGGGGAGTCCGTGGAAGCCATGGGAAGGATCTATGAAGAGCAGAGGAAGCTGGAGGAAAGCTTCACAATCCACTTAGGTGAGTGTGCAGTGTTCCCGAAGTCGTCGTCGTGTATTGCAAGAAAAAAGTCCTTCGCACGTGAGTAGAGCAATACAGTTTGTGTGTGTGCCAGTACTGAGGCTTGAACTCCTAGCTTTACACTCTCATTGTGTTTGTTGTACTCTACGCTGGCCATCTACCACTTGAGCCACACCTCCACTTGGATCTTTTTTTTTTTATTTTCTGGCTCATTAGAGATGAGTCACATGGACTTCTTGACTGGGCCGGCCTCAAGCCAGATCCTCAGAGCTCAGCCTCCAAAGTAGATAGGAGACAGGCAAGAGCCACAGGCACACCGCTGTTTGTTGATTTGTTTCTTGTCTTGAGGCTTGAATGCTGTCCCTGAGCTCTTTTTGCTCAAGGCTAGTGCTCTGCCACTTTGAGACACAGCTTCACTTCCGGTTTTCTGGTGGTTCATTGGAGATCAGAGTCTCACAGACTTTCCTGCCTGGGCTGGCTTTGAACCATGATCCTCAGATCTCAGCCTCCTGAGTAGCTAGGATGACAGGTGTGCCCGGCCTTGTTCATTTTAAATGATACCTTGCTTCCAAAACCACCTTCTGACTCACCGCTTTGTCCCTGGGTGTTTGCAGGTTATGTATACATGTTATACATATTGTCTCGAGGGCTCGCTCCCGAGATTTGTGTGTATACCCCCTGGATTTCTGACCTCCCCCCCCCTCCCCTTCTCCTCCCAGGAGCCCAGCTCAAAACCATGCACAACCTGAGGCTGCTGAGGGCTGATGTGCTGGACTTTTGCAAGCACAAGAGAAACCACCGCAGCGGCGTGAAGCTACACCGGCTGCAGACGGCCCTGTCGCTCTACTCCACCGCGCTCTGCGGCCTGGTGCTGCTGGTGGACAACCGCATCAACTCCTACAGCGGCATCAAAAGAGGTGAGCCCCGGGCCGCCCGTGACGCCCCGACCTCCCTCCACCGAGGCGCAGGCAACGCCAGACAGCAGCAGCCCCCGGCCAGGGCTCCAGCCACGCCCGGATTATTTCAGCCCTCCATGCTCTCCCCACTCTCTCCTCTCTCGCTGTCTTTCTCCTTGGCTATCTCCATCACTGTCTCCAAAATGTGTGGCTGTTTTTTAGAAGAAAGCAGAGTATATGTCTCCTATCTTCAGAGAACCCTGAGTTTCCGAGGCTCCTAAAGATTATAATCAAAGGCTCCCTGATAGAAAGATGGATTGGAATCTCAGCAGGATTTCCAGGGCCCGCCCCTCAGATTTTCGTTATTGGAAATCACAAGAAATCACCCTTGAAAGCTTTGCCTTTCCATTTCCCTTAGGCTGGGCTGCGTCTCCGCAAGTCCTGGACAGCCCTGGCTCACACCTAGTCACTTGCGTGTGGTTGTTTTACACCCTAGATTTTGCCACAGTGTGCCAGGAGTGCACTGACTTCCATTTCCCGAGGATTGAAGAGCAGCTGGAGGTGGTCCAGCAGGTGGCGCTCTACGCAAGGACCCAGCGCCGCAGCAAGTCCCGGGAGCCTCGGGGTCAGTCCCTCCTGTCCCCGCACCCTCCCAGAAGTTCTGTGTCTCTCCACATGGACACGGTTTTTACTCAAGAGAGCATTGCACTCAGAGCATGAAGGGTCGCAGGAGGCAGGGTGAGGCAGCTCAAGCCCTTAGAGGCTGAGATCAGAGGATCACGGATTCTAAGCCAGCCTGAGCAAGGATGATTGGTGAAGCTCTTTTTTTTTTTTT